TTATTACCGTGCTTTACACGTACCGGGAGTAGGCCCAAACACACGCTTTCTCTGAGAGACTCAGTGCATCCACAACTACTTTCTCCGGTTGTTCGCCTACGGCGTGGTGGGTCTTCTTGTGTAACAGAGGGTGATGGTATGCTTTACAACCTTCTACACTGCACACCCTGTGAATTTTACATTCTACGGACCTGTGGCCCCTTTTAAGACATGAAAAACAACAACCTGTTTCTTTAGCCTTCGACCATCTCTCATCCACCGGTAACGACAGAAATGTGGTACATTTTGTGACTACATGGTTCCCTCCACAAAATATACATGAAGGTTTCAGGACTCCCCCAACGGGTACTAGCTGCTGCGTGGAACATGCTATTTTACTATCTGGTCGTCGACTGCTTGTTGCCAGCTGTCCAAACCTACTTAGCAAAATGCTCGCACGTGCTGACACAAACTGCGTTAACTCTGCGAAGGTAGGTTCTCGTTCGGTTTCAGTTAGCTTTTCGACAGTCTCCGCCCATTTCATCTGTAACACACGGGGCAATTTCTTTACTATACCTTCTAAAGTTCTCAAGGAGTTAAGGTCCGCAGTATAGTCCATTTGCTCTAGGGCTATAGCGCAGTTTTCCATTTTTATAGCTAACCTCGACATTGCCTCAGCATCGTTTTGTTCTATGTTCGAGCATTCCATCAGATCCTGTAGTAAGGCCCGGCTGACTTCATGAGTCCTTCCAAACAAACGTTGAGTATATCCCGAGCCCTACGATAACCAGCAGATGGTGGTAACATAATGCATTCCTCTATAGCCTCCCTGGCCTTACCTTTACAGTAATGTAACAAGTATAACAGCCTCTGTCCATCATCATCAACCTTAGAGACAACGTAGAGCTCAAACTGCCTCATAAACTTCCAATATTTGGCTGGATGTCCGTCAAAGCTGCTTAATTCTACTTTCGGTAACTCATGGCCAACACTGACACAAGGCAACGTAGCGGCAACCCCTTTGTTTTCTGCGCTGCTCGCCTGGCTAGTCGTTTCACGATCAGAACTGCTATGAGGGTCAATGCCAAGACAAACTGATTTGTGACACTTTATATCATCATCCAAGGAAAAGGTATCACCTAAACCCCCATTCACATCTAAGTTGAGTTCTTTATGCAGACGCAACCTTTCCTGTCTTTGTTTAGCCTTGAATTCACGAAGTTCCAACTCTTGCCTTTCATCCAACTGTCGTACCTTCAACTGAGCAGAGGTCCTACAAGGACTAGTCTTACTATAGTCAATAACTGTACCATTATCAGAGCCACGGCATGAAATAACATCAAGAGGGACTTGCTTGGTATCTGAGGTTGGATCCATGGACATGTCACCTTCTCCGTCCGGAATTGACTCAAGGAACACCTTGCGATTGCCAGGTACAGCAGTGACGGGTTGTTGAGTACTGTAGCGGCCAGAATCCAATAATCTTGGCCTGAACGCGGGAAATAATCAGGCGGTGCCAACTGACGTGAATCTGACTAGTTCCTGCGTTCTACTGTATAGCTTCCTAACTTCCGCGAGTGACGCACAGTCAAAGGTTGGATCGAAATATCAAAACACGGTTTGTAGTAATTCAATAGTAGATTCGTAACAAAATCTGTGGTACTATCAAAGCGACAATAAGTTATGTCAAATTACAAAAATACCTCAACAGTGCCGTTGGGTGACTATACAGTCCAAAACGTTCTCGGGTGGAAATACGTATTGTACAGTAAAAACTGGTCAAACAAACACAATTATTAAGTGCCCGGGAAGGAATAAGAATATTCCAGACAAAAGGGATCAAGACTGTGTCTACCGGAACCAAATCGATAGATAAACGCTTCCAGTAGACAGTAAAAAGACAAACAGTCAAATCACAGCACAACCGTGAGTTGAACCAAAACAAAATGTCGGGTACAGCAAAACAACGTCACGTTGTCAACAGTCCGGCGTCACGTAATCGGAAAGTGAAACATTCATGATAAGTCTCAAACATACAAAGGCAAATACCGAGTGCAAAGTCGAATAAGACAGTCAAACAAACAAATAGCATTACACCGGTACACCATCCATAACGAGGGTAAAAATATCAAAACAAATGTCAATACAATCAAATAAGGGTGATCGGGAGGTATCTTCAGGTCAATTTTCCGTTACATTAGGACCAAAACCCCTGTGTCCTCGATAAACTTAGGAAATCGCCGTCACAGTCAAAAGGGTTCGTGTCACTGAAACGTGCAAATCTACTGAAACTCTGCGTACGTGACACGCTGTAAATGAAAAATCGTTCCCCAAAAGTGGCTTCCGAATACAAAGGTTGATGTGTCCCTTTAATAAAGGCTTGCAGCCATCAAGGGATGCAGCCCATTTATTACGCAAGATTAGTGGACTATCTAGAGAATCAGTCGCGAATTTCAACCTTAATGCTTTTACCCCCACTTGTTCTACTTCACCTGAAACGAGCTCTTACACAACAGCGGAGTTCACCATCACAATTATCACAAAGATTATAAGCAGCCAGAGACTATCGACAGGTATAAGGATAGGTACACTAAACTCAATATTCGTCAAAAATAGTGATGATATGCCATTGTTCCTGCCCAAGATATTCACACTGTCAACGGAAGGCAGAGACGTTCGCAGCTACTGGAAAAAGGCTTCATAGTTTCCCACTACACTTCCAGTGACAAGGCGAATGGTTATGACTACACACACCAGCGTACCGTCACTCGTCTCCCGAACTATGGAAAAAGTGATTAATATCGTCACCGGGGCTTCCTGTGGATTTCATCCGTTCAACTGACATGTGTCAAAGTGCATCACGATTCCTGGCAGCCTAGTCCGGGGCCACATTGCAAAATGATCGATAGAATTCGATCACCACTCAGGACTAGACAGCACGAAGTTGGTTGCCCTCCAGTGACCAGTCGTTGACTAGTAATTCCGTATAGCACCCCAGAAGGACAGGCAGCAAGTGGAACTGTGGTCACCACAAAATGGCTTGGGCCAAAACGTGAAAAGTCGCGAGGTAACACACAGTAGGGCTCATAAAGCAAGAACCGTGGAATGTGAAAACTAGCCAAGCAACCGTGCTATCATCAAAGCGCTAAAGGAAAATTATCTGCCTCCCAACTCCGACACGCTAAACACTAGCCCCAATTATAGATGGTGGGTGCGCAGAGTTGATACAAATTCGCGCTATGAATCGGCAGCTCGAAGCTCTCCCCACTGAACTATTCCTAGCGGATTTCGTATTCAATGTACTGCCGCATCTGAAAGTTTTCGGTACGGTAGCTGCCCCGGACATTCAGGAGAGTCCTCAGTCTCCTTCAGAGAATGAAAATACATGCCGCCAAGTCGGTTGCCGGACTGAAGAGGAAGACATACCCCGACAGACATATGCAACTAGGCCTATTCGCCTTACGTTACCACGGGAAGGGAGGGCTACCTTACCATCGGCTTAGCAGTCACAATGAGGGAAAGGCTCTAGGATGGTAAATCTACGAGCCAACGCCGGTCCCATACCAAACATTTTCTCCTAGTAGTGTGTGCTTTGTAAAACGCTTTACCACATGGCGTAGCCTCAGCTTCCTCAGTTGACTCACTGAAGAAACGATTAAACGGTTACACCAGTTCTTATGGCCGACGGGTGACACAAGACACTACGGACCTCACTAGCCCACCACTACTCTCTTCTTATTTACTATTCATCATCCTCCTGTTTTTGGTACACCTTTGTTACCTTCCACCGCTTCTTTAGTAGGCGGACTCTCGTTATCTGTGTTTACCCTTTGTGGACCTCCAATATACCTTTCCCCACTACCCTGTTGTTCCTTTTCAGATACCTGTAGAAAACGGATTCACGAAGGCCCCCTTAATCTTCCCAGCGACCTACAGCTTCCCAACTAGCCCAGTCTGCAACTTACAAATAATTAGTTACAAAAGCATAAATTTCGTCGGAAGTAAGAGCAAGAAAGAGGAGGAGAATTGCCTGCTCACTGAAAAAGCAAGCCAAACAGCAATAAGTAAGCCTCAGGACCTAGACAGTGGCTTACGAAATACTGAACAACCCAAGTCACCCGAACAGAGGATTACTACCGAGTCGCCACCATGGTGATCCTCATGGAAGCCCTAGGAGAATTCCCCATCAAAAGTCAAAAAGTCGTGTGCGTTCATGCTTCTTCGCCCTCTGAGTCTGCGGGCACCGGAAGTCATTGCCAGCAAAAGTAGTCTCCGCCTCAACTGTTGAAAGCTTCAAGGAAAGGCTAGACAGTCTCACAGAGACCCACGGTCTACCCATATGTAGCTGGAATACGAACGAAACAGAAGAAATCCACTGCTGTTACTCCATTCCAGCTATCTTACCTCTACAACCAGTCTCCTTTCTACTGCAGCCATTTAAGCCCTTTTCTTCCCTTCTACTTGGCATGAGTTAGCCCCACCTACCTAAGTTCATATCTCTGCACTCCTTTTCGCCTGACTTGGGTATAAGTAGATTACTCCAGTAGTTCATTTTTCTTCTCTATTTTGCTCGTACGAATTTTCCTCTCTAGGTCTTCTCTTCGTCATCCCTAACCCCCTCTAACGACCAGTCCGAACAACTGTCAGGCAACTGGACATCTGAAAAGCCAAAGGTATCACAGTCCAAGGCGAATTAACCAACACTTAACCTCCTGTTATGTATAAGAAAGCTATAGGAGAAAACTGGCTGGATCTACTGCATCGGAATCCACCAAAGACCTGGAACCGTTCCACAAGACCAAGAAGCGAGCAAGAAGAAATCAACGAGTTTACACACGCTCGTCAAACTGATATTGGATACATTAGACGCTGGAGATTAAAAACTGTCAGTTTCTTATGCCTGCACTATTCGATTTGATAAGTGGTCGTTGTAAGCTAATGATTTATTCTTGTTTGTTTGAAGGATGTCAAAGTTGTTTGTTGCCATCACGAGTAGCTGCTACTTGCAAACAATGTAACGCCGCCTTTTTAAAATCCAATGGATTTGAAAATAAAGGCCATTGAGTATTTTTCTAGTAACAATGTCCTGAAAGAGTTGGAAAAAGTGTTACAATCAATGTTTCACGAAAATGTTTTGGATTATGCAGGCTACTTAGTAATGCGATTTTAGTACTCAATCATTTGTAGAGCAATTATTTCGAACACACCTCACATATCCCAAGGCTTATAGAAATCAAAGCAGATAGAGATTTCTCCAACATTGCCAAAATCTCGCGTGTTTTATCCGTATCAGTCCTATGGCGTACCAATACTCAGGTTTTTTGAAAAATTCTTCACCAACTCAGTATAGGTTATTAATAGAGTGAACTATGCATATGGCTGCAGTCGTTGCATTACCTCTGGAGTCGGTGTAAGTACAGTAAGCCCACTAGAATTCTTGGCGTGCATACATGCAGTTGAGGAGAGACTTCGAGAATGTCATTGGTCAGCCGCAGAAATGTTTGGAATTGACAATTACCTCAGGTAATTACGTTGGGTTTGAAACAACCGTGTACGTTTTAGCAAAAGGTTCTGAGTTTATAAATATTACTCAGAAGCTAAGCGTATAAGCAAATGGTTTCAGGATGAATCCACAAATCAATCGGCTACTCTACGTGGCGGCCAATCACGCTTTTATAAAGTGGAAAACACATCATGATTCCGTATACTACTGGCTTTTGGTTTCAGCAATCAGTTCCAAATCATCCGTTCTCCGCTGACTAACCAGTTTACGATGCACACTTCTTGGCTTCGGAAAACTATCAGATCTCGAAACAAACCAGACAAAAGTTATGACGGAAGTGAACTGCATTAATAATACACTATTCTGATACTGCCATTTACTTAAATATTTTCCGAAAACAATCAGCGGATTACTTGACGTAAACGGCTGACTGTTAAACAGTTCTGCTGTTGTCAATATCTCCTCTTTGACTGAACAGTGTGGATATATAACTGGGGAACCTGAAGAGAGGTTTACGAAAAAGTTTATTCTTAGATGGATAAAAAGTGTTTCAAATTTCAATGGAATTATTCTATTGTCTGGACAATTCCATCAAATTTACCTATGTGATACAAATAGCCAGATAGTACATTAACGCGTAGTTATCAGGAAAGTTGCTTCGAAATCTCTTGCTTGTATAGTGCACATTTCATCTCGAGATAAAAATATTTGATGCAACACACTGTTGAAAAACTCAAGTGTAACTTAATTGGTCAAGCTAAAGCTAGATTTTCTCGTGATGAGTTTTCGTATTCTCCATAATACCTACCCATAATTAAAGTGAGATGCTGTGAATCCGGTTATATGTTCATTCATAAATCTCTAGAGATTTGGTTCATTGGGTTAGAGAGGTGACTGACAATCAATGCATCATATTTTCAAACCCCACTCTACCTACAGAGGTTTGGGGAGACAGGTAGTATCGTCATCCCTCACGAAATAGGTGTATGGCTCATTGTCTATTGTATGAATGTGTATAACGTTGTTAAGTGGATTTCAACTTGATTTTCGTAAAGTTTTAAATGTTTACATCATAAGCTACTAAAGGAAAACAAATCTGTTCATTTTAGGGAATTTTATAGTGAATATAGAAGTCAGTTACAAGAACAACGGAATACAGAAAGTGGGACAGAAATCGACAAATTCAATCCGAATGAAGATGCATCAAAATCTGTTTCCCTGCAGAATGCAAAGTAAGTCTTGAGATATTTTGCTCTGTTGATTAGATGTGTCACACAGTAAAGCAGTATCGTTTGCTGATTCACGTTTTCAACACAATTCACTGCCCGTAGTCACATCACAGTTACTCCATAACATTGAGAAATGGGTTAAATAGTCCTTAACCTCTCTCCTTCTTTTTCCATATATCTAGTAACGTTGTAAAATGACTTCTACTGCATTTATTTATTGTTGATTCAATAAACAAAGATTCGGTTATCAATCTCTACCTCCAGCCAACTTATTTTTTAAAACTGTTGCTGTATCCCCCTCAGTCGTGTGGTTGTGTGTATTTGCTTCCATAGCTACAACCAAGCTTTTCTTATCTTATCAGGATACATCAGTTTTGATTTGCCCAATGGTTTTATGCTCTGTTATTCTAATTGACCCTGGCTGATAACTTTGTTCTGTGTATCTGAACTCGTAATAGTTGCAGGGGATTTGATAAACTAAATTATTCTATCTAATTGGGTAAGCTGGATCTTCTAAACCACAAAGCTTATTTTTAGATGAGTTTGTAGGTTTAAATGCCCCTCTAATCCCTGCCTTATTGAGAGTCCTACGTAATGCCCCTGAGGTGGTTTCTTTGCATCGCAATACTGTAGACTTTTTGAATTCCCTCTCCATAGGATTGCCAATATTACCACTACTATTATTGCTGCTATTATTAACACCTGTTTCATGTATATTAACAGATCTATTTTGCGATTCCTAGAAAACTTACCAGTTAATTTAGGAGGTTAATTATTGATTACTAAGGTGTCCCTAATGTATCTGGTTTCTTGCCTAAGATTGTCTGTTTTACTTGTAAGTTTCCTGGCCCTGTTACTCAGATATTTCACGAATCTGCCAACCTTAACTGATATAGGGTGAAATGATTTAAAGTTTAAGGGGCGATTAGAGTGTGGAGTTTTTCTGTCGACGCTAGTTTCTGAACTCCCATCTTGCTTGCATTTTATTCTGGAATCCAACATCAGTAATTCCCCTTCACCATTTTCCACTTCACTGGTGAATTCGATTGCCTTGACTACTCAATTTATATGTGTGCAGAAAGTATGTTTGTGCTCTGATGTCAGTACTGTAAATGTGTCGTTTACATATCAAAACCTTACTTTTGAGTAGAACTAAATTTTCCGTTCCCAACTATTCACAAACATGTCAGCCACAAAAGGCGATGATGGTGGTCCCATGAAAACTCCTACTGTTTGTTTGCATATTTCATTCTGATATCATCCACTGGTATCTTAGTTCATAGTGTAAACTCATGAGCATTATTGATCTCCCTTGTAACTCCTTTCGCAGCCATGCAAATCAGTATAGTAGTATACAAACTAACTACATCAAAACTAACTATTTTTCACTACCATCTAAATGTTCGTCATCTAGTCTACGCTTCAAGTCATAACAATAAGTAAGTCTCTATTTGTACCCAGTACAATCGCTAAATATTTAGATGTCATGAATAGGTGTTTCTGAAGTCTAATATGGGTCTAATAGGATAATCTGGATTATGGATTTTAGTAGTACTATAAATCCCACTGGGATTATTAGCCTCCGGCATCAATTAAACCATCTCAGCTCACCTAGGGACAGCTTCCCCCAGCCAATTCAAAACCTCTACAATATTACGGAGCAAGGAAGGTACCTCAAAATCATCACATAGGATTCTCAATAAGGTGGGGATTAGAGTGGCATTTAAACCTACAAACTCATCTATAAATATGCTTTGCAGGTTAAAAGATGCTGCTGATCCAATTAAACAGAATAATTTAGTTTACCAAATCCCTTGCAACGACTGGGAGTTCAGATACATAGATCAAAATAGTCGACCAGGGTCAAAGAGACTATCTGAGCAAACAAACCTAGTTAGGCCAAAACTGGTGTATCCTACTAAGATAAGAAATCTAGAAAAGAGCTGAGTCACTGCTATGCATGCAATCACACACAACTACACAATAGGATTGGGAAGAGTGAAAATCCTTAAAACTAGCATAGCAGGATGTAGGAAGAGACATATGTGAATCTTTGTTGATCGAATCAACACCTAATACATGCAACAGGAATGACTGAGCACTTGTTCCGAATATATGGAAAATCCTACTACCCATATCACAAAGGAGGTGAAGAAGTTAGGACTTTATGAATGATGTATCAAAGTTGTGTAGTTATCTTGATGACTATGGACAAAAATTATGTCCAAAGCGTAATCCAGTAAACGATACTGTTCCAGTGTGTGATCACTCTAGTAAATCAATAAAAATGGAGTCACGTTCTACCACGGGGCACAAGTTTTACCTTAATATTACACTACTTTCTGTTGAATGCATATTGTACAGATAGTAATATAAACATACTATTCAGTATTAAATTCACGATGATATACCCGCTGGTATTAGTACATAAGCGAAGCCTCTGCAGCTATACACCTTGCAGTGAAGCTATGAGCCTTCACCTGCTGAAGTGGCTTAGATATGCATTTTGCATACTGAGCCACCACCTACAGAAATGTGAAATGTTAGTTGATGTAGGATCTGGTAGAAAGAAGGCCCGGGGTGGCTAGACTGAGATCTGATACCAGTCCATGAAGTCAGTGACTGTTCTTTTGAGCTGCATATGCAGATATAGACTGATTGTCTAGTATTTCCAAGATAATGTGAATAAATGGTTGAGAAGGTTTGGTAAGATGTTTGAAAATTTATCACAGTGGCGCAGATATATTGACTCTTTGACGTCTTCGAATTATTTCACCTCGTATACACTTTTATCTATTTTGATATCACTCTGTTTTCATCCACTTATCATTTGATTGATTTTGGGAACTATGACAAGTTGAGGTGATACACTTTTGCGAAGAGATCTATGTTGATTTTTCTGTGCCTATGTCTCACTAAAGTTATTGAACTACATAGCTACATAAATGAGAACACTGTTCTTTGTTGTCTGTCATTAATTGTATTCAATATGTCGCTTCAGATCGACGTTCCTTTTGTTTGTAGTCATCAATAAACATGATTTAGCGCATTTAACGACATCCCACCTCATCTAGCTTAGTACTTTCGATGGAGAGTCTTACTGTTAAAATAATTTGCAGATGTAAGTGACTACTTGGCAAGAAAGCATAATCTTTCTATCTCACAACACCTTCAGTTCCGATCACTTTTGGTTTTCGATTTACTTTTATCACTGGGTAGAGGAAGACGATAACTGGCTTATCTGAGTGTCAGTCATATTTAGTGAATGAAAAGTAGGTATGTACCAGCTACCTGTTATATGCATTATACAGAAAGGAATAATTTTTGACCAATATTTCATCGAGTACTAAGCAAGACAGGTAAGTCGATCGATGAGGCTGTGAACGTTCATTGTCTGAGGTGGCTGCGCATACTGAGCTACTGCTTACCTCAAAATGCAATGCTTGATCTCCCTTACTCAGTTGCACTTATCAACATATTGCTTTTTTTTAATACAGAAAGAAGACTACTAAGGAAATTATACCGCTGATTCCGAATCAATTGGTTGCGTTAGCTCCGTTATTGGCAACAGATTTAACATGGTTATCAATTAGCTTACATTTAACTGCAGCAAAGTGTTCTCGACCTGTTATTGATTTTCAACAGTATATAAAATCACTTTACAAAGAGGTAAATATAGTTTTCTCTCTATATGATGATAAAATTTTGCTTACCTATCGTCAAAAATCTCTAGGCTACTAGAACAAATTGAATAATTATTAAACTGTATGCTTTGATCACGTGTTTTGTGCTCCTATATTCAACTGAAGAAAATAAGCATAGAAAACCATCAGATTGATTCAGAGATACTCCTTTTGAGGGTAGATCTGTTACGGTGGTGCATGTACATAGTATTCTCCCTATCACTATTGAAATTTTGAGCTTTTTTAAGGTGGTATTCATCATAGACTGACATCAGTTAGGAAACTATTAAGAACCTGGAAGCACTGAACAGTTGTCTCACTCTAGTGTAGAATCCCTCAGGAGTACGCATCGACGATTTCAGAAGGGATCGGACTCATAACCTTCAGGTCAATGTTTCACAGTTTCCTACTTCTGCTAATTCGCCATATAGTGTGACTATCCATCAAGATCTTCAGTTGCATTCCAATGGCTGAATAGTTAGGCCATTTGTTGTGAAAAGTAAAAGTCCTGAGTTGGGTCCCTTGCAAGGTAATGGGTACATACGGCTGAGTAGTACCATACTAAGCTGAAATAGCTATTCTAGTGCTCACAGGTTTTCATTGGTTCTGCAATTGATATCAATCCACGATAATTACTACTGATAAGAAGCAGCCTAAATGTAAATCAACATTTAAAGTCATCAAGTGACAAGGTAAAATTTTGGATTTCAATTTTTGTTTCATGTCACTGTGTGGTCAGGAAAAGCCTCATTGAACAATTCATCCTATAGTTGACCAATTAAACAAGTTATTCAACTTTCGACCTTGTGGTTTGATATGTTCATGAAAACTGTATATAAATGATGCATTTTCGTGTCGAACAAATAGTCTTCTTTCCAGTCACAGGTCGGTCTTTGCATTCTAACGTTTTTGCGGTTGAGTGAAGTATTATATAATGAGGGAGACCAGTTGCTGTTTATATTCGATTCACGTGTCTCATCACGTTATTATCATTTAAGTCTTTATTATTATTATTATCCACTCGACCACTTCAGCTACCTTCTAAATAAAATCCACTTAGTGTGGATCCGTTTTGTTTTTTCGGAGGTCGTCGTCTGCTGTTTACAACCTAGAATATTTACAACAACAAATTACAACAAAATATTAACAAACTGCAGTTCAGTGAGTTCAGCAGAAAGGGATCAACGACAACAAAGCGAGTTAAAGAGGCTGTCCGAATTGAAATAAAGTCAGCGTCATGCAATGATGCCCTAAATACATTTAGGTCTTATTAGAATGAAAATTCTCGTAAAAAATAAATGGAATATAAAGACAATGGTAAATCCAACTTTCTGGATTTCAACATTCAACGTAGATTTAATCATTCCAGCAACACATGGAATGCTCATAACCTTAATTTCAACAGTTTCTGTCTAGACAGCTACAAACAAGCATTGGTCAGAACACTGTTCTACAGAGCATGAACAATATGCTGCACACCAGATAAACTTGAAGAGGAATTATCGCTTCTCAAGAAGTATCTTAAGGAAAACGGATACTCACAAAGCTTTATCAACAAATATGGCAGAAGAGAATGCAGTAAATTTGAGAAAATAACAGTTGGTAAGAAGTTGGTTTTCATTCACCTCGACTTCAAATGTGATGATGCAGCGATGATGGTGAACCGAAGGCACTGTACAATGCATTGGTCAGAATATATCCCACAGCAAAGCTACTTCCACTGCTTCGTAGGTCGTGCATGCTGGTACAATCAAAAGTCAACAGTTGCCCCTGATTATCTTACCTGAGATTGTTTATGTCTGCCTGGCCAGTTACATTCGGAGAACATTGAGAACTCGCCTTCGATATGTTGAACATTTCCCGAAAAGCTGACGATTGAGGCGAGTATGTATCCTCAATAGTGAAATCACTAACCACCTAGTGGACACAGGACATCAAACAGATGTCTTGGAATCCTTTAAAATAATCAAGTAACAGAAGAATTGAAGTCTTCTTCGCTTCGCTGAAGTCATTCCACTCAAATGCATGTAACCAGATTTCGGTATTCAAAAGGAATCTATCATCAATCTTCAACTATACCCTGATAACCTAATCTCTTACTTAATTACATCATTACCCTGTCATTAGATTTCCAGTTTACTCTAAGCACCAATCTTAATCGACTGGATTCCACTCAATCTGATCTGCTACATTTTGCTTTATGATTAGTACTGACTTATCTCTACTCAGTGATCTACGTGATGTTTTGTTCTAAATTACACAGTATTCTCTCGTCTACCTCAAGTTAATTTTTACGAGAATCTTCGTTCTAATAAGATATGCATTTGGGACATCATTACACGAAATTCTGACTTCTGACAGTCTCCTTACCTTGGTATGGCGTTGTTGCGTTTTGACTAATTTCACCAAATCAAAGCGTGGGGTTATTTCTTTGTAATTTGTTTGTGTAAATATTACAGATTGTGAACAGGTGATGAGGATGATCGAAATGAGAAAACAGATTGATATTATAGGTCTCAGGGGCACATATAACTGTCGAAATCAAGGTAGGTCATACATGAACCGTATATGGGACCTTCCTGGTTTAAGATCATTCCTCTTTTCAGTAATTCTTCAAGATAGCTGAGGAAACTCATTTCAACTGCTGTTTTCTTGTTGTTCTTCGACCTATCAACTTGAAATTTCAGTATGTTACTGCCAACGTATACACTTCATTAAACTGTGTAGTTGGAGGAATGAAATATCAATTTACAATATTGATCCATATTGAACAAAAACAAACTCTCAGATCTTTATTTCTGCAGGTACTTAAACTAAGTTACTATATCAATTCTGTTAACAAATGCATTCAAGACGTGAAACTTCACACTGGGGGATTATGCTTCCTCCAATTAAAGCTCGAAGACTCCATATATATATTTCTCAGGAGATCCTCGGAAAAGTTCAAGTAGTCTCTGTATTACTGTGATTTTCCAAATGTACTCATAAACGATTCAAAGCTCCCTCTTCATTTTGTTTTTTGTTTTTGCCGCATTCTTCAAGGTTGTTACTTCATCTTTGACTAGTACCAATAAATCAAACATTCCACCTGTCACTACCATTGGTCATAATGATTTGCGGATGATAACATGTCCAATAATTACAATCCTCAATTGTCCGGGACGTATTGGAGGACTTCAACCTGGAAAATGTCGATTTTTACGAGAAATTCTACTTATTCCTAAACCATATTTAAAACCTAAAGAAGTATGTTATGTTTATATATGAAATAAGAAAATCTAACTAGTTGTTAGATAATTTGTTTACACTGAAATCAAAATTACAACAAGTATTACTCAATAAACCAAATGTAAGTTACAAGTATGTGTATTTACACCCCTGCCCTGCCCGCCCCCTTACCTGATTACTAGTTGTCACCACAAATGATATGTGAGAATGGTGCAGCAAGCGTAAATATTGATAAACCAGAACAAGCGCTGGATATAATTTTAGAATGTTTAGAGCAGTTACAATTGAAAGAAGAATTTTATCTTGGTTTATACATAGCACCGAAAGGAATTTATGATACGGTTAGTTATTTTTATTTACTACTTATAAGTAGATGAAGTATTTTTTTTTGTGCCAAAATATATTCATTAAATGGATACGGTTAGCTTTTAGAAGTCAACAATTTCGGTGAAGGGTATCTACTACTTAAAGGGACTTATTCTGTTCTTAATCTTACAACCGGGGTCTATCAGTGGTGAAATGAGTTTTCTTAAGGCCACAGTACACCATACTGATGAACTCCACACAGTTGCCAAATTAGACAAAACGAGATATTTTACTAATTACCTCTTAATGTCTGATACCAACATAAAGTGGATTTCATTATCGTGTTGCTTTGGTTTACAGTCAAACTCAGAGTACGACTAATATACTTTATCATTTGACTATCCGAGATAGACGTAGTTTGGCAGACTAGTATTTATACTACGTGACGATTGAAGTTAAATAGAAAAAAATGTGGTCAGCAGTCGGACCTCGTAGCTCAGTTGGTAGAGCACTGGGCCGACAACCCGGTGGTCTCTAGTTGCGATCCGGCCGCTGTCCAAATTCTCATCTCAACTTCGATCATCATGCAGCATAGCATACTTTAGTCAGTGTTAAATATTCGACGCAGATTTGATAACTAATCACTGCGAAGTTGTCTTTGATATTGTCTCTGTATATTATGTAGTTTTTTTCATTGTTTTTTGGGTTTAAAACTTCACTGTCAGATATTTACCCTGTCTACTGGAAGTAAAGACAAGATACTTCGTTTTGGTAACATAGATGACAGTTGACAGTCGACCTCCAACCTATAAGCCACGAGTTCGAATCCACCTCCACCTGTTGTGGTTAAGGTAGCCAGGGAGTGTCATTCACCCCAATAAAACAGGTTTGACTCACTGCCTACAGTACAAACGTGCATAAGATTGCCAAGTGGATTTCCATTCTTTTCTCAACGATACGATGATGTAATACACGTTATATAATTTCAGAAATTTGAAGGTACTGTGTGCACAGTTGTCGATATGGCTTATGCAGTTTTTGTGCATCAATATATGTATATTTCAATACATTGAATATTCCCATTTAGAAATTTTGAAAAAAGACTGATTGAGCGAAGAAATATATTCCTTTTCAATTAGGTCTTCATCTTGGGCTCTACACTAATACATTGGTTTACAATTTAATCAAATCACCAATCACTTGGTGATGTTTCGGAAATAATGATGTAAATAATCAATAGGGTTACTAAAATAAGAAATATGAATATTGATAGAAACAAGAAGGGGAAGAGGCGTACAAAGTGAACCTAGAAGTTACATCATGTTGACGGCCAAGGTAATGAAAGTGGTCGAACAAACTTCTTTTGGATACAACTGCTAGGTTTGTAAAGGTGGATTGCAATCGCCTCTGTTATATGAAGTAGCCGAGTGCGTAATCCATGAGGTAAATTAATTGGAATCAGATGGATGATTTTGAAGGCTTTTCTAGTAACCACTTGATGTTCTGTGTCAACTAAGTGTGCAAGTATGGAGATCTTTACAGTTCTAATTTGTCCTTTGTTCAACCATGATGGATGGTGCTCAGAAATTCGACGATGGAACTGCCTCATTGTACGCCTAATGTAACTAGCTCCACAGGAGCAGTTGAATTGATAAATGCACATAGAAGTGGCAGAATCAGGCAGTTTGTCTTTATTTCTTGCACCTAGAATCGGGCGGTTGTAGAAGGCGGGACATAATTTAGCGGCTGGGAATGCTTTATGCAAGACCCTTTTTATGCTTTGTGTGATGATCTCACTGGCAATACCACTCTTAAATTGCAGCTTCAAGAAGATTTGCTGCTTAGGAACTGTTGGCATTGTTGTCTTAACCCTCATAATATTCATGTGCTTAGTTAAAAACTTGTCTGGGTAGCCATTCCTACTAAGCAGACCACGGATGATGGCGCACTCTTCATTGTATACAGTAGTTGATTAAAATAAAAATGAAATTCCTGGATCATTATGTCCTGCAGAGGATATCAAAGTCGGCAAAATCGTGTAAGATAGTAACCAGTAGGAAGATAAAGTTTGGTGCGAATAGTCAGGTTTACAAGATGTCAAAGAGTGAATGCGCCATTTTGACCAATTTTCACCCATGTCAACAGAATCTTCAACCATTGATTCCTGTCGTCTCAGGGACATCAGCCAGGCAATCTGCATCTCCCCACATGGCTCAGATCAACAGTCAGGGACTTCATGAAATGGTGCCACCTCTTGGTATGGCCACCCTCATTCAACCCTCTTCAACTCAATCCGGCTTCTGCTAACATAGAACATCGAGGTAGGCGGTGGCTCGGCATGTAAATTATGTTTTCAAGCCACCCTAGTTGACCAAGGTTCACTACCTCATCAATCGGCTTGGCCGTCTTACCTAGCACCCTTCACCTCACCTTAACATTTCTCACATGCTAATTCCACCATACAAAAACAATGACGCGAAGATATGTGATCAAAAACTTGTAATCACTTCATATCTTCTACTTTCAACGACCTTGTTTCACAGACATACAACAGGACAGAACGGAAGGCAGTGCAGTATATTCATCCTTTGATAGATAGTTAGGTGTCTCGCCAGTCGGTGTCACAAGTGACGCGAGTTTTGCAAATTTCAGGCGGGCCTTCCGTATCCGAGCTGAGACTAGTCTTGCAGCACCATCTGACAATTGATAAGTGCGAAACATATACTAAACACACTCAGATTTCTCCTCGACGCGTTCAGAAAACCTGTATTCTGTCAGTGTCTTACCTAGCAGGACAATATCGTCTCCATACTCTAACTCAACCAAATGGCCTTCAGGGAGTAGATTAATCTCTGTTAAATCAGACGTACTCAAGGTTATGTATATGAAGTTAAATAGGAACGGTGAGAGTGGGCATCCCTGGCGGACACTACTAGTTGTCATTGGTTTGGATGATAACTTCCCATAAAACTTTACATGACTGGTTGAGTACGGGTGGAGAGCTTTGATAAACATCATATACTTACTCGTTAACGGAAATTTGTTTGACAGAATTCAATAAGCATTCAGGGTTAAACATCATGGAATTGGCAATTTTTTAGGTAACCGATCAGTGCCAACTGACAGCAGCAGAGTTAAAGGTTGCAAATTGAATGTCGTTTCAAAAATGTTGACTATCAGTTATAAACTGAATAATAACGCGTTCACCTCCTAATCTGAATGTAGTCAGAGGTCAAGAGTATGAAATTCACTTGGCAACCTCATACACATTTGTGCAGTAGGCATTAAGCCAAATGTGTTTTATTGAGGCTAGTGAAACTACCTGACTGCCTAAGGTAGGTTCAAACCCGTAACTTTTATGTTTGAGGTCAAGTTCCGGGATTAATAAACTGCAGATCAACTGTGGTAGGATACGACGGTTGTTCGATGTCTGCCACCTAATAAGGTTGTAAATCTTCGTCGACTAAAGTAGCTTGGACATGTACTGCTCATGTCAATTCACTACCTACCTCGATGTGTAGTGCTAGGTGAAGTTGGATTAAGTTGGAACGGGGGTTGTAGACTAACTGGCTGGAGTCCTCGAGACGATTGGTATTAGTGGTTGGGGATTCTAGGTGACATGGCTGAAAATCGAACACAATAGTGCCGATGTATTTACTCTTTGACGTCTTCTAAAGCTTGAATATTTTGACTAACCTTCATTCTTAACTTCCTTCTCCTCTCATACACCTTTGTCTAGTTTGATATCACTCTCTTTTTATCCACTTGTTCCTTATACACTAATATAAAGTGTAGCAACATGAATGGATGCACTTGTGTGCGAAAAAAGCGCTTCAGTTGAATATTTAAAGGAAATATATTCTCTTTTAATTGTTTTCAAGGTAAAAGAACGCTATGAGGTTATCACAGGGACTTTAAAATCTCCTGAAGAAATGGTTAATTTCTATGCTGATTTACTCACAAGATATTCACACATACGTTTGTTAATCGACCCACTGAGAGCGGAAGTGAGTAAAAAATTGTTATATATATTATTAATATTGTTATTATTTGTCCCTTGGGTTCCTAATGGAACATAGGGCTTCAGTAGCAGGTCTCCAGTGCACTCCCTTCTCTGCAATCTTTTGAACCTGTCTCCACGAATGCTCACAAGCTCTCATTTCTTTCTCACACCATCTCCTCCATGTCACCCTCACGTCGGACCAACAACTCGTCGCTTCCCATCTGGGTTCCACTTGACGGCCTGCCTGGTGGCCTGGCGCGCGATGTCCACAGTCGGCCTTCTCAGTGTATGCCGAATCCATCTCCACTTCCTTCCACTGCATATTTGTTGAGTGATAGCTTCTTCGTTCGTTGGTTCGTTGCCAGCACAGGCAGCCAGCCAGCCAGCCACAGTTCCTTCTTGCTTATTCTTTCTCGTCATCTCATCTTCAGTATCCAATCAGCGTAGGCACATCTTGATGAATCTTTATAGTTTGTTCGAAGTGCTTTTCGTGACGCACCAAGTTTCTAAACCAAATATCAGCACTGACTTCACACTGGTGTTGAAAATCCGGATCTTGTTCCACATGCTAAGTTCAGAAGATCTCCACATTGGTTTCAGGTGAATGAACGCCTGTCTTGCTGTCTTTCCGATCCTGGCTAGCTTTGATGTCCTCGTCTGTACCGCCTTTAGTTGAAACGATGCTGCCTTGCCTAGGTGGTAGGTGAAAGAGGCTACTTCCTTTAAGTTTCTCCCATTGATGGTGATTGAAGCTTGTTGCTGTTGTTGTCCTGGTTGGTGGTGTTGGTTGGGTATCTTCATCACCTGTGTCTTCTCTACGTTCACTTGAAGTCCTGTCTTCGTTTCCCTGCCTCTTCTGTCAATTTGTCGGATTTAGCCTGTATATCTTCAAGTTTGTGTGACATTAAGCCTAAATCATCATCGGCGAAATCCAAATCTTCTAGGGTCTTTTCACCGGTTCAGCGTATGCCCCTCTTCTCGCTCGTCACTGTTTGCTGCATGACCCAGTCGACCACAATCATGAATATCATGGGTGATATTAGACAGCCTTGTTTCACTCCTGTCTTCACTTCAAAAGCATCACTGAGATTCCCATTGTGAATTACTTGGCATGTGGCGTCTTCATATATATATATATATATATATATATATATATATATATATATATATATATATATATATATCCGTTAATATCAGTAATAATTTTCTTTAATAAATGATACTTTTCATTGTATTTAATGAAGTGTGAAGCTCTGATCTTCAAATATGATCATTAAATAGATGATAGATGATGTATTACTTGAAACAGATGAGTGTACTAGGAAGAGCCACACTTAATATTCGATGGCTTATTACATAACCCAACTATCTAGATTGAAGTAAGCAGATCAAAATTTTGTCTAAAAACTGACTTCTTGAAAGTTAAGCATCTAAACCACTGAGTTACACCCTAATTATTTGATGAAATACATCAGTTAAAGACAAGACAAAATTTAAGAATAACAGTCTCTACAAGGTGATGATTAAAGATGAAGATGAGAGCGTGGTTTTCAGCAGGATCAGCAAGATCCAGCTACTGGTCAGGTTCCAATGTCATTTGAATCACTAATCGTTAACCTGGCTGTTATATGAATACGTGATACTTAATCGCCCTATAGTGAATGTTAGTTACTTGAAATCAATCATCAGGAAGCCCTATTTGATTTAGGTTTCGTCTTTGTTGGCACTCATCAGATAGGTGAGTCGAATCTCATGATCGACATCATCTCCTTCAAGGTTCCAGATACACCTTGCTGCTGAGTGGACAACAAGCATAAAACCTAGGTCCAGGGATTTCTGCCGATTGCTTCTGACCTACTGACACCACAATGGTGCAACTCCTAGCTTAGTGGCCACAGCGTGAAATGGTCTAGAGAATTCTGTCAACACTTAGGACTAGGCAACATGAAATTGGTTGTATTCCAGTGACTAGTCAATGTACTTAACTGTCCGTTTATCGTAATCTCACTATTTTCTCAGCCAGGTCCTCTTGTCCAAATCAAATCGAGGTGAATCGGAGATTTGAGTCGTCGTATCGACCATTAATGAGATTATAAGTAAAGTGATTGAGTGAATGGTAATGAAGATGCGAATGATAATACCGCGATGAAATAGTCAAATCGGATATGAACAGCGACTACTCTCCCACACTACATTATACTTCACCCAGCCACAGAAACATTAGAAGACAAAAACGGACCTGTGATGACAAAGAAGACTCTATTCGACACGAAAATGCATCATTTATGGACAGTTTTCATGAAAATATAAACCACTAGGTCAAAAGTTGGATACTTATTTTGATTGATCAACTGTAGGGTAAATTGTTCAATGAAGTTTTTCCTGACCACATAGTGACATGAAATAAAAAGTGAGATCCAAAATTCTACCTTGGTAGCTGATGACTTAAAGTGTTGATTTCCATTTAGGTCGTTTCCTATAAATATGAGGCAGCTGTGATTTAACAGACTTGAAATACTAACGCTGAGTGATCAGTGAAGGTGAATTTAGGACCTAGTCTTGTAGATTAGTTGGTTGAACGTCGGGTCCCTAACCACAAGATTTGAACCCTTTTCTATCCCCCTTCAATCATACCTACCTGCTTAGTCATAACTACCTCAAATGGTCTCATCAAGAATCTTCCCAAAATAATTACTGAATCTGCATACTTAATTGAGTCGAAACGTTTCTTTACGACAGTATGCTAGTAGTGGATAATCATTCTTTTCTTCAAGCTTTTTATGTGGGCCAATTATATTCTTACTTTAACAGCCCCTAAAATGACCTTGGACATTCATGATACTTTTCGGATACTGCGATTACCTACTATCATGTTTAAGCAAACGGAAGATAGAAATCTCGAGACTTAAAATGTTTACTGCTGTTTTATTCGATTTAGAATTCATTCAAAACTTTCGATGAGTTTTTTTTTCAGTTGATGCTATCTGTTCACCGTAACTGAGTCTCTAAAAGTAGCCAAATGGCTCTGGGATAATTGTGTGCCAGGTGTCAACCTGAAGAAGCACTATGCGGCTTAGTTAGGTGTTTGTGCCAGAAACTGATTTCATATCGGGCCTAGTTATGCAATGACAGTCACTTTCAACGTGGCCCGCTAGATATCAACGAAAACACCTTCAGAGTTGACTCAGAGGTAAATGAAGTCGATGAGATCTATATGCACAGATAAGTGGTGTGGGTCTCTAAAGCACGGACGGAGTAGCTAACCAGGATTTTACTCATTGCTGTAGAAGCAATGAGACCGAAAGGTAAGGGAATACAGCTTCATTAATTCCGGTAGTCGTCATTGATCAAGCAGTCCCTACAGACAGGGTGGGATTTACGTTGCGATGGTGAGTTATATTGCGTTCAAACTCCCGGGTTTTCTTTACCCTAGCCTCGACCATTTATCAGTGGCCACTGTGGATCAGTCCTCACTATTGGATCGTGGAACAGGCCTCTGGAGGAATGAATTTCTTTTCATCAAGGTGAGCTGCATTCTGTTCTGCAACATTATGTAGACTCACTGAGACAGGTCTCTGGTATGTTTGTTCGCGGAGAGGGGAGTACAGTCAAACAATCCGATTACCCAATGAATGTGGATGCTTTAAAGCCTGACAGTTAGGAGGGTCCTGAGAGTACATTGGCCAGTTCACTTTCATGTAAAAACGTTGCTATGATGTTTCCCGCCCGCTGATGGGAACGATTCACCAGGTTTGTGTTGAAATATTCATAGAACTGAAGACCACCTTAGAACATGGAGATTAGCTGAAAGGTGGATTAAAACTCTCTTACCTGTGAATCATATTGAAACAAATATGAATATTCGAAGAGTAAGAAAATCCAGTTTATGTAATCCATACATTATTGGCCTATTGTTCAAGAACCGTTTGTTCTCAATTCCAAACTATTACAGCCTGAAAAAATCGGTTATTCTCAAAATACTTCAAGTTGTTATTCATCGTAGACTGACATCAGTTGGAGGAACAAAGGAAACCTGGGAGCATTGGACAGCTGTTTCGTCCCAACATAGGGCTCCTCAGCAGTGCGCACCCACTACTCCGCCGGGGATCGAACCCGCGACCTTCAGGTTCCGTGGCCAGCACGTTACCATCAAGCCACTGGCCAGAACTCAATGGTCCATATTTCCAACTTCTGTTAGCTCTCAAAATATATAAAGTAAACTATGGAAGCTTGACACGTTGTAAAATTAATCCAGATTGATTCGATGATTATCCATGTTGGTTTGCATTATTTGTTCGTGACGAATTACTTTATTTGATTATTAGTCTAATGTTTTACGCAGGAGGAGATTTTATTTTCAACTTGGTATTCATCATGGGCTGATAGCAGTTGGAAAACAATTGAAAATCTGAAAGCACTGGACACCAGTTTTGTCCCATTGTAGGACTCCTCAGCGATAAGCATCCATGACTCCACTAGGGATTGAAAGAAGTAGACATTTGTGAACCATTAGGCTTAAATCCACTGACTGAATGGTTAAGGCATTCGCTGTGAAACATGAAGGTCGTAAGTTCGATCCCTGGTGGGCGGAGTCCTAGGCGTGTGTTGCTGAGGAGTCGCACACTAGGACGAAACAGCTATTCCATGCTTGTCCAACTGATATCACTTTATGATGGATATCAGGTAAATTAATAATACTTTATTTATCTATCTTACAATAAATTTGTATATAGGATATAGAATCCTGGGAATTATTAAGAACACGCATATCATTTCCTGTGTTGATATCAACGAGCACCACTATTCAACCTTCAACTAAGGATGTTATGCCAAATCGTTCAAATTCAATAGCATCAAAAAGCTCTGCAACAGCACCACCGACAACAATGACAACAGTCGCAACATTTGATGAACCTTTTAAATTTAGTACACCAACAGGTTCAACTGTATATGATTTGCTCAATTCAAAGAAAAGGATAACTGTAAAAAAACAAATCTTGTTGAAATAGAAGATGGTACTATTGAACCACTTCAGGATGCTATATGTCAACCGATAAAGACAAAAACTCCAATAGATAAACAAAGTATATGCTATTCCTCTTGGTTGTTCACTTTTGACACGTGTCTAGATTGTGTCTTTATTACAGAGGTGATTCAAGCAGTCTACACATTACACAGTAAGCATTATATGTGCATATTTCATTGTTATTATTATTATTATTAGTACCTTGGGTTCCTAGTGGAACATAGGGCTTCACTAGCACGTCTCCAGTGACCTCTGTTCTCTGAGATCTTTTGAACCTGGTTCCACGACAGCCCAGAAGCTCTCATTTCCTCCTCGCACGACCTCCTCCATGTCACCCTCGGACGTCCAACTCGTCGCTTCCCATGGGGATTCCACTCGAGACCTGGCCTGACGCGTGATGTCCTCAGTCGGCCTTCTCAGTGCATGCCCAATCCATCTCCACTTCCTCCTGCATATTTGTTGGGTGATAGGTTCTTGGTTGGTTCGTTCCCAGAGCTCCTTGTTGCTTATTCTTTCTGGCCATCTGATCTTCAGTAGCGAGCGTAAGCAGTTGTTGATGAATGTCTTTAGTTTATTGGAAATGCCTTTCGTGACGCGCCAAGTCTGAACCATACAGAAGCACTGACTTGACGATGGTGTTGAAAATCCGGATCTTGTTCCGCATGCTGAGTGCAGAAGATCTCCACACTGGTTTCAGGCTAATGAACGCCTGTCTTGCTTTTCCGATTCTGACTTTGACGTCCTCGTCCGTCCCGCCTGTAGTTGAAACAGTGCTTCCTAGATAAGTGAAGGAGGTTATTTCCTTCAAGTTTCTCGTTGATGGTGATTGGAGTTTGTTGTTGATGGTGGTGGTGCGGTATCTTCATCACCTCTGTCATCTCCATGTTCACTTGAAGTCCCGTCTTCGCTACCTCTTCTGTCAACTTGTTAGTTTTTGCCTGCAGATCTTCAAGTTTATGTGACATTAGGCACAAGTCATCGTTGGCGAAATCCAAGTCTTCTAGGTTCTTTTCCGCAGTCCAGCCACTGTATCCCCCTCTTCTCGCTGCCCACTGTTTGCTGCATGATCCAGTCGACCACAATCAGGAATATCATGGGGGATAGTAGACAGCCTTGTTTCACTCCTGTCTTCACTTCAAAAGCATCACTGAGCTTCCCATTGTGAATTACTTGGCTGGCATGTGGCATCTTCATATAGTTGTTGAATGAGGCGGATAAAGGTTTGCGGTACTCCGTAGTAATGAAGCAGTTTCCAAATTACTTGTTGGTCGACGCTGTCAAAAGCCTTCTCAAAGTCGATAAAGTTGAGGTAGAGAGCTGATTGCCATTCTATGCTCTGTTCTATGATGATGCGAAGCGTTGCAATTTGGTCTGCACAAATATTGAATAGTTGGAATAATGATGATATAATGGTTGATTAGTAGGCCAAAAGTCGAAACAAGGTGTACTGTATACTCTTGAGATAAAATTATTGTCTGACTATACTTGTTTTTCGTAGAAAACTATAGGAAACAAAATAATAACAGTAACATGAGTACGAATAATAACGATAACACAAGTAGAAAGGAGTTCACAGCCTCCAATGTGCTACCCTATAAGAAAGGTACATCAGAAAGTTTACGTACGATCCTCAACATGACTGAAATTAGGGTGGCATTTAAACCTACAAACTCTATGCAGTCAATGACATAATAATCAACAAAAACTACCGATCACAACCTAATCAATCACTCACCAAGAAATCTTTATAACTTGCTCACTTCATATTGAAGTGAGTCCCAGTGATATTATCTAGAAAGACAATGGAAAACATGGCTCTACACATGTTTACTCCTATACCGAAGATATGACGATATGTGGATGATACACTTTTACTGTGTTGAAATATGAAAATATCCACAGTTTCTTCATCCACATATAAACTCAATAATAGATGGAATCCAATTTCACCTACGAGATAGAAAATGAACAAGAAGAATTATCTATGTTTTTTTTAGCAGAATAAAACGAAGAATGGACGGCAGTCTGGATACTACCGTCTACAGAAAACCGACTCATTCTAACAAGTATGTAGACTTCAAGTCATCTCATCCAATCAATTTCAGTTAAGGCAGATTTAAATAATAGAGCCAGAAATATCACTAGTCAATGCAACGACTTAAACAAGGAATTGAAGCATAATAGAAGAAACGTTAATAACTAATAATAACCCACTACCGTTTATTGAGGAATTCGTACGAACACATAAGCAACGAAATGATAACAGTCACATCAGTACAATACTAACGACAACACGAGTAAAAAGGAGCTCACAGCCTCCAATGTGCTACCCTATAAGAAAGGCACATCAAAACCTTTACGTACGATCCTCAACATGACTGAAATTAGGGTGGCATTTAAGCCTACAAACTCACTCAGAGATAAACTTTGTCAGGTGGCTTAAGGATCCGATGGAACCAATTAAGCAAAATAACCGAACCTATCAAATTGCATGTAATGACTGTGAGGTCAAGTATATAGGACAAACTAACCAGTCGGGGTTAGTTAGATCAGTGGAACATGTGAATTTAGCTAATTATAGAATGATACACTCCAATAGAGTCAACAATCGACAAAAGTACTCGACTATTGCAATGCATGCATTAACATACAATAGGGTGGGTGGGGTGAATCACTGTACTTAAGTCCAGTATAATTAGATGGAGAGAAAGATTGATTACTAAAGCTTTATTCATCGAATCTCAAGTCTCATTTTTTGTTATACCTAGTAAAATGATCGATAGAACTCGATAAGCACTTGCTACTTACTAAATAACATGAAGTTGGTTACCCCGTCTGGTGACGAATCCATGTACCTAACTAGTTCAACAGGAGGTCAGTCGCTGCTTGAATAGCTCAGTGGTAACGTCTCTGACGGCAGCAATATATAATGCGGGTTCAAATCTCAGGCAGGATATCAGTTCTGTGGCGATCGCAGATACGCTTTACTGAAGAGTGCCAAAAAGAATGAAACCCAGAGATCAAGTAAGGGGTTCCTACCGATTGTCATCATCCAATTAACATATATTAAACTCATAGTAATTTGAATAGATATCATATAAGTAGTATACACTTACAGAAAAGGAGAAGTGAAGCGCATTAGACAGCTAATGATGGCTAGTCAAAAAATATAAGGCTACCTTTTTGTCTCCTATATCTCTATCACTGGTCTGCATGAAACCATAGGTATCGCACTATCAGTAGTTTGAGAGAACTGATGAATAATCTTTACGCCAGTAAGACATCAAAATGCCTACCAATTTTGGGCACTCAGTGAAATTGTGCAGGTTGATATTTCAAGATAATATATAATATTACACATTGCTTGTTGTTCAAGTATCGGTTGCATCACATGTGTTTCATTGATGATGTTGGTAAAGTTTTATCTAAATAAGACAGTTGAAGATATGGATTGTTGGCGTATCCTTTCCATACCAAGCCAACGATTAAGCTCTTAACTGAAATCAGGGTAGATTAAAATAAATTTCACACTACTCAGAACAAGACACTCATTTATGATCCTCGACCTCAGCAATATCAGTCAGGAAAGAAATAGAGCCTACCATTAGTTCCTAACGGTCTATTTTATGATACTGCATATCAGCACATCAATGTAGAATCTATCCAGATGAAAAACGAAGCAGCTGTAGGTAACCTGAAATGAGGAAGGGCAGCAGGATTAGGCGGACTAGTTCCTGAGGTGGAGTGTTTTTAGTCAAGTTAGCTTAAGTGTTAACGAGTCATCATTACCATTTATCAAAATAGGACCAGGTATTACCGCGTAACGGTCCGAGTTGCCACACCTTATATCAGTACATCAAGTAAAATGCCAGTGAAGTGGAAGATGAAGAGAAGAAAATTCAGTCAAAAGAAATATAAAGCACTCAGAGAGAGAAAGGAAAAATGAGATGGTGAGATTCGGTAAACCGTCGTTAGGATGAGGATAGTGTGTGTATAAATCTGGGCCACTAACATCAGTTCTCAGACATGTGGTCACCTAGAATCTCGAACCACTGGTTCCTCTTGTCCCGTGGACTCCAACTGGCTAGTGTTAACGAGTGTATGGGAGTCAAATATGATCTCCACTGAATAGTCTGAATCACTGATTTACCGGAACTCCAAGAAACTCGAGAAGTCCTCTTATGATAACCATATAAGAATCAGCCTGATGAATGTAGCGTCGAAGATCCTAGTTTTTATAATCATTAGACGTCTGATTGCAGTTTGGGAGCAGCAAGCCCGAGCAAACCAGGAAGGCTTCAAACATGGCCGTGGGTGTATCTACCAAATCTTCACACTGTGCCAGGTTCTGGGACACAGACGAGGTTATCAACGCCCAACACTAGCTGTATTTTTCCATCATCGATCGAGATGTCTTATGGCAATGTCTCTCACTGAAAGGGGTACCGAGTGGGTACATCACCCTACTGAAGGCTCCTTGTTCGAACACCTGTGGGCGTGTTAGAGCCTATGGTGTAATGTATACGTTGAGTGGTGTCCGTCAAGTTTGCCCACTCTCTCCATTCCTATTCACTCTTATCTTAGACGTTCTTATGGAGGTCTCTATCTCGACATCTGGCTACACAGGGTTGACCTAATTACAAGAGAATTTTCGGTAGGCTTAGAATGCTCAGATGACATGGTCCTGTTAGGTGAATACGTTTACAAAATGCAGAGTCTTGAATCGCAATTTTAAAGTGTTTGGGATGTGTTTCTCACCACCTAAAGGACTGGTTTTAGCGGTGTCTCTACTAACAATGGAGAGTGAGATGGTCGGGTGCGTTAAACAATTCACTTACCTGGCAAATCTCATCAGCCTTGGTGGCTCAGTACCCAAAGAAATCTCTGCGTGGATACAAAAGCTCGGTTGTGTTTTGACAACTTATATTATCTGTGGTACCGCTTCAACATCCGGTTGTCGAATAAGGGTCGAGTGTAATGTGCTGAAATCTGCTGTTCTGCTGTATAGCTGTGAAACATGACCATTAAAATTAGAAGACACGAGAAGGCTTCAGGTGTTTGACCACTGTTGCCTTTGTAGCATAGGTCATAGTGTCACCGCCCGAGTCAGGTGCAGAATTTTAGGGAGGAGAGGAAAATCACTTTATAATGTCGTGAACGTTCATCGACTGATATGAGTGGAACATGCGTTACGTATGCCTAACCACCGTCTGACTCCTCGAACGGTGTTGGCCTAAGTAGGTTCAGGTTGTGCGGGTAAACTGAGAAATAACATCAGTGCATGGAATCTTTGACTGTTATGAAGGCAGATGTACACCAGCCAGTTGGGGTCCACTAGACAAGAGAAACCAGTGGTTAGCTCAGAACCAATGTCAGTGACACTGATACATACACACATTATCCTCATCTTAACCGCTATACCTAATCCATCACTTCATTCCTCCTTCCTCTCTTTTACTACTTTCTACTGCTTTTGACTGATTTTCCTTTCTTTCTTCACCTTCCATTTTATTGCCTTATTACTAGTTGAGCTGATATGGGGTGTGACAAATTGGACAGTTACACAGCAATGCCTGGTCCTATGTTGATCTCGATGATGATCAAAGATAGAATGAGGAATAATGCTGTGCCAATGAGCTTTTTCTAAGCCAAACAACGTTAATCGACCCTTTTTGAAACCTTTTTTTCATTTGATGTTGCAGTTAAATGTTTACAGGATGTATAATCAATCATGTAAAACAAATGCCTTCAAGTTCATAAGTGTATTTATCGTTCTAATAATTGCCCAATTTTATTTCATATTTCAAATATTAATGTTTGTTTTGTTTTATATTCCTGAAAGTACAAAATCGTCAAGTTATCCTAAGTTTGGATAATCTCTGTGTAGTTGAAGATTGGCCAGTCGATATGGTGAGTAATGATGTCTATCAGTTAAAAATGTTTTCCTTTTTGTGCCATTCCATTAGCTTAATGTACTACTTGACTGAGAACATTTACCTTTATATAATTATTTGTTCCTTAGGTTTCTAGTGAAACACAGGGCTTCAGTTGCACTTTGCCATTTCACTCTCTTCTCTTCATTCTTTTGAACTTGGCTCCACGACTGCCCACAACCTTTAATTCCTTCTCCACACGATCTCTTCCACGTCACTCTCGCCTCAGACACCCAACTCGTTTCCCATTTCGGTTCCACTAGAGGACCTGACCTGGCGCGTGGTGTCCCCGATCGGTCTGCTCAGTGTATGTCCAATCCAACTCCACGTTAATCTGCATATTTTTTGAGCGATGGCTTCTTGGTTGGTTCGTTATCAGGCCAGAGTGGGTTCCTTGTTCCTGATTCTTATCATTCTGGCCATCTGATCTTCAGTATCAAATGAGCGTGGGCGGAAGCTGTTCATGATGTGTGTCTGGAGTTTGTTGGAAATGCTTACCGAAACGGGCCAAGTCTCTGAACCATCACATAGAAGGATTGACTTGACTAAGTGTTGAAAGCCCGGATATATATTATATACGATGATGAGTAGAGTTGGAACAAATTTCAGTCGTTACACGATTCTACTGACTAATCTCTGTGGTGTTACTACCTCAGTTTTTAATCAACTGAACTATGATGCTCAACTGCTGACTAGGTCTTAAGTTCCCCTTCAGACATTAAGAATTTTACACGACGTCTATTTGAACGAGTGATCCATAACTGTTGGTTTATCAGCACACTATTTATCCTTTTGAGTTCGAAACCCGTTATCAGTGGCATTTTATCACTCCAGTACATCGAGAGACTGTCCCACCAATGTTCAATGATGCCTGTTGATAGTAGGGTGAAAATAAGATTACATGATAAGTCGATTCAAATGGTCGTTGTTGGTCACCTTTTGTAACATAGGATATCTGCTTGAGCATGAGTTTCACCCTACCACCACTGCGACTGATGATGACGTGAATATAACGATACTGTTCTACCCATAAAAATTGAAATTTATTGGATTGAAGATAATGCTGAAAAGTGAGATATTTTTTCAACAACTGTAGTTGAAGATCTGCTTACTTTACGCCTCTGAAATCAACACCAAGGAAGGGAACATTTTTACTTCAACTTTCAATAATATGAAGTTTATCCTGAGTCTCTAACAACCAAAAGTACCATGAAACACTTAAAAATAAAACTACTGATTGCATCTAAGTCTAATGTTTTCAGCGAAGTGTACTGTGGTCGTAAATGACACATCTTAGTCCCTACTTGAGATTCTACAACTGTACTAATTGTCATCAAACAAGCGATTAATCTGTACAGTACAGACTTACAGGTGGTTATTGTGGTTTTCTAGGCCTTCCCTGGATTTCTAGGTTGGTCAAAGGTTACCGACCATAGGGGCACAACAGACTATGGATTCATAGTAACGCAGAAGGCCCTAAAATTCCAAGTATTTACCCTTATCTCCTTAGCCGCGACGGTATCTAGCGTCCAACCAAGGTTCTCCCACTAAGGCTAGGTGGTTACTTGTTGTCCTAATGAGGTTTAGTGGTCACAACTCATGTTTTTACTGAATGAAGTAAGTTCAAACCTTCAAAAGTTAGGAGTTTAGCTCAGATTGCAGTGAGTGCTACTGACAAGAATGCATATAAGTAGTATACACTGGGAGGTCGGAAGAAGTCATAAATAATTACGAGCGATGGGTAAATATTTTGCCCAAAAAAGACGTGGCCGTATCAAGAGCAAGACGAGAAGAAGAAGAAGAAGAAGAACTGAAATACATTATGCAAATTGATATTTCGATGGAAGGTTGTCAGTAATGTACAAAGTGTCATATTAAACAATTCTTCTGTGATTCCTCCTTTGCTGTTTTTTTTCAACTGTTATTGCTGCTTCCGGATGTCATGAAGATTCCGTGGCCTGCAGTGTTCGAGGATGGAGATATCAAAGTCTTCTTCAGAGATTTTGGGTAGGTCGCGGAGTTGGAGGGTGCCCGGGATCCAGGAGCGAAATTTGTGGTGCTTGGCACGTTACGGAGGGGTCGAGCGAAAGTGGCATATGACGGCGTAGAAAGCATAGATGGGAAGGGATTTAGGAGAGAATGGTTGAACGGATGAAGGCGGAGTTTGACGGCCCAGCGGATAGGGAGCTAGTAATGCAGCCGTTCCGGAGCATGGAAATTGGAAGACGAAGATCTGCTGATATTGGCTTCGAAGTTGACAAATCTACTTCTCCTACTTTGGATGAGAACTTTAAGGCACAGTTGCTGGCTATACAGTTCGGAGGAAGCGTCCCAAGTGCCGTCGCTCAGTAGCTATGACTACTCAGCTGTGCCCAACCCATGGATATTAGTGAGCTGGCAAGGGTGATTAGATAGTTGATAAGTACAGTAAGGGCTGCGGTGAAGTCACCAGTGTAAAATAACTATAGATAACAAATAGCTAACCTTCAAGGGAAGAGTTGGCTGCACTTCGAATGAATATCAACAGATTGATTAAATGGATGCAAAAAACATGGACACTGGCAAAGAAACTGTCCAGAGAGATGAAAAAGTTTTAAACGACATAATATGACTTTTTTCGACTAGACCAGATGTCGAAGAGGAAAAGCTGTGTATGTTAGAATGCGAATAAGTGATCGAGCTAGTGTGTCTAGTAGATACAAGGGTAGCAGTCTTGCTGATAGATAAGAGTCAGTCTCCGAACATAAGATTGTGTGCGCTAATGGTTGACACGGTTGGTGGACACGTATTAGAAACCGCAGGCTTGTCTGATTGCATCGCTGAAATCGGAAGATTAGATTCCCATTCATTGTCACCACACGCTTGCAAAGACAATCCTAGGTGCTGATTTTTTGAGAGTAGTGAGTGTAATTATTATCACTAGAATATCTACCCATCGCTCTTAATTACCTATGACTTCTTCTGCCCTCTCAACATATACTACCTATATGCATTCTTATCAGTAGCACCCCTCTACAAGGCTGTTGTACTACTTGATGAAAGCCAACAAGGACGGAATCAGACTCTACGGTTTCTTACTTATGACAAGTACAGTATAAACAAGCTGAATGGTCACATTACGAAATTTATCAATAGGATTCAATTAGCACTTAGGACCTGAAACCTCCATTGGTTACTATCCAACAACTTGTTCGCAAACCGTTACTCCATTAAACCTTGAAAACTTAAAGCCAATAGATTTGAAATCGATAATTATATGCGAAAAAATTCAAATTTATGCACCCAGCCAGCTGCACTTATATATTTTTTAGGTTGTATTCACCATGGGTTGACATCAATCGGAAACTTGTTAGCACTGCACGGTTATTCCGTCCTACTATAGGACTCTCCCATGACTCCGCCCACCAGGGGTTGAACTCAAGACCTTGATGTTTCACGGCGAATATATTGGCTATCCAGCCAGTGGGTCGGATTTTAATGGTCCAAAGTTCCCTACTTCTGTTTATTCGTGATATAGCGCGACTACCCACCAAAGTCTTCAGTTGGCATACCCTTCACTTCCCACTGGTTGACTGCACACAGGTCACGGCTTCTCATTAGAACTTCGAGATATATGAGAAGAGAAGACAGACCATTGACAAAGCTGTTTACTGTCTCAACAATAGTCAATACAGTTGACAGCGATGCAGAATATATACATTTCTAACTGACCTTGACAACACTAAATCCACATATAGTTAACGACCAATGAGAGTTGAGCCTTGAAAGTAGAGGGGAGAAAAACTAGTAAAGTTTATGAGAACAACCATGTAGGTTATTTTTAGGTCATAGGCAAAACAGCAGGTAAAGCTGTGCAAAATTAGAGAGTATATAGCAGTATTCATGAGGATTTTACTTTTAAGGTTGGATTCACCACAGACAGACTACATTACTCATATATTTGATTATGTTTGCAACTGATGAACTTGCTGTTAGATGTCAATACAAACATGATTCATAGTGACAGCGAGAATTTGACAATTATACACAAGAGTATAGAATTCATTTTCTTCAAATGAGAATTTTCTCAACTATCATGAAAAACTCTGAATTCTTTAAGACGGAAATAATAAATAGTAATAACTAATATCCGTTATACAAGAAGTGGCTATCGTTCCTCCTTGATATAGTGGATAACGCCTTGGCGTTTAGAGCGATGGGTAAGAGGTTTGAGTCTCGATGGGAAAAACACCACTCAGAGGGGTGCAAATACGTCCAGCTGACGAGTCCCAAGTGAGACGAAACGTGTGTCCTGGATTCCTCTGCTAGCCACAACCGAGTAAATTACCATAATTTAACATTCAGGCAATATCAAGGCATCTACATAGAAGCTTATATGCCAATAGAGGTCGAACAATGTGACCCAATGAAACAACGGAGAATTACAATTATATCAATAAATAGTAAGAAATATTAACAGATTAGAATTCTTCTGTGTACTTATATTCATAAAGTAAACAACTTTAAAATGTAGCCTTAACACATACTTCTGAGAACTGAAGGTACTAGTCGCATTCAATACTCGACTCTTCATCAGTGAGTAAGGTATCTGAAGCCTGTTGCAAATTATTGAGGTTTCGATAGAAAGTTAGGGTACGAACTAGTATATAAATCAGTGAGTAACACATAAATGCGTTTTATCTGGCTCCAAATCTCTAGATCTAAATGCAATAATTTGGTTGATGGTAGATAACAATAAAATCCAAGACGTGCGTATCTTAACTCAATGGATAACACAATAACATTTGAAGTGATGGTTTCCAGTCTCAGTAGAATGCAGATGCATTGAACTGATGAGTCCCGGATAAGAAGAAATTTACGTCTTAATCTCCACTGATAGCCTTGAAGCAACATTCAAGTATACAGGAGCTCATATGCTAACACAGATTGATCAGTTCAGCGCAAAAACCAATCAACAACGTGAAATACCAAGTCATAATATTATAAATTGATACTTTTATGAATATTTTATCAATAATATAAAGAACTTTCATTTCACTCGAATTTCTTTTCAATTTTTAGGCTATTGCCATTGGCATAAACTTTATCAAATTTTCTGGATTGAATGGAACAGATAAAGTTGACAAATTAATTGCTTGGTACAAATATTATCAAAAGTTAATTGATACAAATTTACAATATGAAAATGAATGGAGATTGTATAACCCATATCTGTTTGAGAATCCTTGAAAAAAAAGGAAAGAACAGTGGATAGAGAGAGAGAGAGAGAGAGAGAGAGAGAGAGAGAGAGAAAGAAAGATGAAGCAGTAATTGATTGGTTATGTAATCGTTTATTCCTTCATTAGTATACAGGACAACTTTAAAGGCCACCGTAACAACGATTGAAATAACCAATTAAGTTACTTCATTTAGACTAGAAAGAAGTACTTTCATAAAATAGAATAGTTTGATTGGCTATTTCAGTTATTGCTACAGTGGCTTTTAAAGCTACTCCAGTATACACCTTAAAATAAATCATGTCCTACTACAAACAAACAACAGCAAAGTATACATTCGAATAAACACTGTAATGAAAATATCAGTTTTTATGTTGTTGTTGTTGTTTTTCTCAACATAATTAAACAAAAAGTATAGATTAAGTACCTGATACTGGGTGATAATTGAAGGCAGAATCAAAATTTGCACTGCAGTGGAATTCAAATCCTACGGTGGATCATAATTTCATTTTACCTTCAATCATTACTTAGTATTAAAGTAAATCTGCTAAACCATGGCTATCGCAGACAGTCAAACATAAAGGAACTATCACCCAAGGTCTTCCAGTTAGCATCCACTTCACTTCCGACTGGATACTAACTGAAGACCTTCGGTGATAGTCACGCTATGTTGTGAATTGACAGAAGTAGGAAATTGTGAACCACTGGAAACCGGCCCAGTGGCTGAATAGTTAACACGTTTTCCGTGAAACCTGAGGGTCCTGAGTTCGACCCCTAGCCGGGTTGTGGGTGCTTACTGCTGACGAGCCCCATACTAAGACGAAACAGCTGTCCAGTGCTCCTAGATTTTCAATAGTTCCCCAACTGATATCAGTTCATGATGAATGGTACTTCTAAATAAAAAAATCCCATTCATCTCAAAGATACATAAAGGGACTACCAAATAACACAGATACATAAATTTTTAGACATGTTTATGTAATTAAATACATACGGTATAAAGCTGATATTCTTTCAAGTAACCAAATAAATATTTAAGTGTTATTACAATCCAGGTATTGAACATTACTTAGACACAGAAGGATGAGTCTTCACATCAGTAATGACAACACAACCTTCAACTCTGTACAATATCTGATAACTTCCTGGACAGAATGAAATTATAAAGGGTTATGATTGATTGATAGAAGTTAGTCGAATAGTCATATTTTTATTACACAAAGGTATAAAAACAAGATATTATTATTTGTCCCTTGAGTTCCTAGTGGAACATAGGACTTCAGTAGCACGTTTCGATTTCACTCTGTTCTCTGCAATCTTTTGAACTTGGGTTTACGACAGCCCAGAAGCTCTTATTTCTTCCTCACACAGTCTCCTCCATGTCACCCTCAGCTGGGACACCCAAATCACCGTCTCCCACTTGAGTGCCTGGTGCATGATGTCTTCGAATGATCTACTCAGTGTGTGACCAATCCATCCCCACTTCCTTCCGCTGTATATTTATTGAGCGATAGGTTCTTGGTTGCTTCGTTGCCAGCCAGCCAGAGTTCCTTGTTGCTGATTCTTTCTGGTCATCTGAACTTCAATAACGAGTGTTGATGAATGTCTGTAGCTTGTTGGAAATGCCTTTTGTAACGCAATAAGTCTCTGAACCATCACATGGAAGCACTGACTTGACGCCGGTGTTGAAAATCCGGATCTCGTTCACGCTTTATGCTGAGTGTAGTGCAGAAGATCTTCACACTGATTCAGGTGAATGAACGCCTGTCTTGCTTTTCCGACTCTGGCTGTATTTGGCGTCCTCGCCTGTGTTTTTGCCACCTGCAGTTGAAACGATGCTGCCTGGGAAGTTAGGTGAAAGAGGCTACTTCCTTTAAGTTTCTCCCATTGATGGTGATTGAAACTTGTTGCTGTTGTTGTCGTTGTTGGTTGGGTATCTTCATCACCTGTGTCTTCTCTACGTTCACTTGAAGTCCTGTCTTCGCTTCCCTGCCTCTTCTGTCAATTTGTTGGATTTAGCCTGTATATCTTCAAGTTTGTGTGACATTAGGCCTAAATCATCATCGGTGAAATCCAAATCTTCTAGGATCTTTTCCACAATTTATAGACATAATAAACTTCAGGATCAAAATTTGACCTGATATAGAGTTGAATAAATTGAGCATTAGGTAATTGGATTATAAAGGAAGGCATATATTTAAAAAGTACCAATGAGGTATAAAAATTAACTTCTGACGTTTCGTGACCCCATCCAAATCAGCATAAGACCAGGTATTACTGCATAACGGCTAGAGTTGCCACACCTCCGATCACTCAGTACACCAAGTAAAAAGGCAGTAAAGTGGAAGATGAAGGAAAGAAAATCCAGTCAAACAAAATATAAAATACAGAAAACAGGTGGTGATAAAGCCTGTCTATAGTCGGTTGGAAGATGAGGGTGTCAAGTACGCATTGAGGGAAGATGTAGCTAAAGATTTATCTCAACGTGACAGCAATGCTTACTTATCCTGAGAGTACCCGGCACAATATTGAGTCTGATGTAGAAACAGCGGTAAATACAATTGTTAATATGCACCCAAAGGTTAGCGAACGTCGTTGGATTTCCGTGACATCATCCGAACTGATTTGATGTGAGAAAAGTGATTCCAACTAGCTCTGACCACTATGAGGAGCGAAAGCAATTTAAGTGTAAATTGACTAGAAGTCTTTCCATCGATTGAGAGAAGTGGTGAGTAACGAAAGCGATAGAGATGGAGAAACTTGGAAAACTTGATCTGGAAAAACTTGGAATAAAACTCTGTTATCACAGCTCATGTCCTCCTCCTCATCATCATCAATATCAACATAGGACGAGGTATTACTGCGTAACGGTTCGAGTTACCACAGCTCATATCACCACATCAAGTAAAAGGCAATGAAATGGAAAATGAAGAAAAGAGAATCCAGTCGAAAGAAATATCAAGTGCTCAAAGAGAGAAAGGAAGAATGAGAAAATGGTGAGATTCGGTATAGCGTCGTTAAGATGAGGATAAGGTGTGTATATACAATTGCGCCACTGACATCGGTTCTCAGCCATGTGATCACCTAAAGTCTCCAACCACTGGCTCCTCTCGTCCTGCGGACTGCAACCGGCTAGTTTGCATCACTTTATCGCTACCCTATAGAAATCGGTAATTTGGAGGATGTCACCTGTAAAAGTTATTGCTGGTCTCAATAGTGAATGTCAACTGATCAATAACATTGTTTATAAATGATAATGATATCGAAATCAATGTTATTATTATCGGTTAGTCACATAATCAATGATCAGCTTTCATTGTCTAATCGGATATGGACTAGCTAAACTATACAAAGAATCTGAAGATTATGAGATATCGTTTTCTTGGTACACTTTTTTTGACTGTGATTATGTTATTAATCCTATCCAATCAACGCAGTGACTTCTAATAACTCTTAGCGTATTTGTCTAATGGTTTGATGACTTATGTCGTTAGAGTATTAATTCAGAGATCGAAAATTCCACTACTTATAGTCGATAACCCATTAACTTGAAACAATTAGTCCCCTTTAATAAATTTCGATGACATTAATAGAAGATAAATTTTATCTGAACAACATATGTATTTGCATAATACAACGTTTCAAACAATCTGATCACACGTTTAGTTGTAAAGGCAATTTATATATGAAATTGAAAGGTTGTGACACTGATCTAGATAATATAATCAGATAAGGATCACTAAAGTAAATTAGGTGAAACAACAAATTCATATCAGGTGATGATTGAAGGTGAAATGAAAATCTGGACAGCGACCAGATCCGAACCGTCTTCCCAGGCCGATGGCCTACCAACTGAGCTACGAGGTCTGACTACTGACCAGATGTTTATTTTCACTTCAATCACTATGGGTTTCACCTGACTACCATATGAATTCGTAACGCGTTACTGCCGCTTCATCGTATTCACACTGGCTGCCTAGTCACGACTTCTCCCCCCAATACAAATCTAGCTGATTTACAGAGGGGGAGCATCATTAGCATTGATTAGCATTTTGACTATCTGAGCGAGATAACCGTGGTTTGGCAAATTGTTATTGATACTGGGTGTTAATTAAAGGTGAAATGAAAATCTTGACCGCAGCCGCATTCGAACCAGCGACCACCGGTTTTCCGACCCTATACTCTACCAACTGAGCTAAGAGGTTCGACTAATGATCAGGTTTTTACTTCACTTTCAAACTACATTAACTTCAGAGTACCAGTCATTAGTTACATCTTAGTATTTCCTAAGCTGTTGACTTTATGCGGCTGATGAGATTTCTCACTGACAGGCAACTGGAATGATAACAAGGCAATATAACATTTCAGTTGACAGATGAGGATAGTAAAAGAAAGTGATATGAGATGTAGACTACCTGAGATGATAGGAATGCGTGATTAACAACTCTTAGTGAGGTGACCACCATGGCGTAGATGTATTCACTCCTTGACATCATCTACAGCTTGAATATTTACATTAACCGTTATCTTCAAATTGTACATTATCTCACAACTATGTCTACTTTGATGTCAGTCTTTTCCTATCCACCTGTTCCTTGTATACCGCTGTGTGAAGTGTGGGAAATTGAAGTGATTCACTTGTGCACGAGGTTCTATGCTGATTTTGTCTGTCTCTCTGTCTGACCGAAGTAATAACGAACTAATACCCTGCAAAATATGAGTGAATTTATTCCCATAACATCCTAATTGAGGTTATTGTTAACAACCGAAGGTTGTGGTTTACTATGGCGTTATTTTATATTTATTTATTTTCCCCTTAAGTTCCTAGTGAAACATAGGGCTTCAGTTGCACGCAGCCATTTCACTCTCTTCTCTACAGTCTCCTTAATCTGGCTCCACGACTGACCACAACCTTTCATTTCTTCCTCACACGATCTCGATCTCCTCCATGTCACCCTCGCCTCCGACCCCCAACTCGTCGTTTCCCATTTGGGTTCCACTCGATGCACTGGCCTGACCTGGCCTGGCCTGGCCTGAAGCGTGATGTCCCCAAACCGTCTTTTCAGTGTATTTTCAATCCAATCCATTCCCACTTCCTTCTGCACATTTGTTGGGTGATGGGGTTCTTGGTTGGTTGGTTGGTTGCCAGGCCAGAGTGGGTTCCTTCTTGCTGATTCTTATTATTCTGGCCATCTGATCTCCATCTTCAGTAACGAGTGAGCGTAGGTGACAGCTGTTGATGGATGTCCGCAGTTTGTCGGAAATGCATTTCGTGATACACCAAGTCTCTCAACCACCACATAGAAGCATTGAGTCACTTGACTCACATTAGTGTTGAAAATCCACATCTTGTTCAGACCCCATGCTGAGTACAGTGT